GGGATGTGTTTTTCCATAAACTCCTATAATGTACAAGATGTCTTAATATTTTTGCATATGTGTGTATCCAAAGTATATTTTTCAGGAAAGGGACTATTCTTTTTGCTTAGTACACGCATAAATTTCGTATTGGAGGGCTAATCCATATATATCAGATCATCAAGCTCTGAGAGCAAATCAAAAATAAATTCCAAATTTATAAGGAGTTTAAATAGAAGGTGTGTCGGAATTTTTTTGTGTGAAGGAAATTTGTCAATATTTTTGACTCCATTGATTCTACACCTTTTTTTAAATTTAAAATTTAAATTTCAGAAAAATCGGTTGGTAAATGCCATTTGAAAAATGCATTTAAAAAAAAATTAAAAAAAATTGCAATTTTTAGCGCAGACAACGTTTCTTGTCTTCCGTATGGAAGGGTACTGAATTACAGAACAAAATTTTTGATTAAGAAATAGAATTTAAAAAGAAATTGAAGAAAAAAGTAAAAAAAAATAATAATTATAATCTAGATGGCTTTTAAAACTATGCTGAATAAAATGAGAATTATAAAGAATATTCAAAAATTTCATAAAAACAAATAAAAAAATATTTCAATCGGCATACTTCGAAAGCATAAAACATTAGGAATTTTTTTGTATTCAAAATTTCATTTTCATTTTCAAAATATTTTCAGTTTGGAGGCCTGATGGATATACGAGTATGTGGCATTAGGGAAGGCTATATCGCTGAGCGGCAAAATAATTTTATTTGTTGTTTAAAATTTTATTTTAATTCAAATTTAGTGAAATTTAATGTAGATTTATAATTTATATTAATTCAGTTTTTTCTTTTGTTAGTAATATTTAGTATAAAACAAAGGTGACTGTGGAGAAATAGTATGAAAGTTTTTTTTAAAAGAAAAAATGACTTAATCAATTAGTAAGATTTTGTGTACTTTTTAAATATTCTATTGTAGTCTAAAATAAAATATAATACAATATAATAATTCAACTGATTACGTTCATATATATAGGTGTTGACACCCCGAGAGTGTTGCGTCGAAGGATGCAAAGGCAATAGTCTACGAGAAAAGGAGAACATAAATGCTATATTTACATTAGTTTGCCGAAGAACGAGATCATCAGATATAAATGGATACAAGCATTAGGAAAAAGGAATTCGACATCAACGAAGTATCTGAAATATCTACCTACCAGGAGCCGACTTCACCCAAGTCGGTTACTTGACTTGAAATACTAATAATGATTTGAAATTTAATACGCAGCTTGAGTTTCGAGCTAATTTCACGTCAAGCCGCAATATAGACGAGGCATAGAAATTAAGAAATTTATAAAAATAAAGTTTGGTCAAACCAATGGTTTGTATTGTAGCACTTTTCCCTTCAACAACTGAAAATTCTGCTTTTATATACAGTCTATGTATACCTATCAAACTATTAAAATTATTTTCATTCATATACAAAACTATTTCTAGGATTGCATATATTTAGGATGACGCATATATGAAATGTTTGAAATAAAGCAAAAATTAATATAAAATGGGGTTAACATAATGCTCGATTTTAAGGGCTAATTGTGTGAGTTAAGAAAAATAATTATATTTTTTAATTTCATGGAATTTACCGTTAGCTTTTTGCGTTTATAAAAATTTGGAAAAGCTTGCGGTTTCGGAAATATAAGGAGTCAAAAATTCAAATTTTACGAATTTCAAGAGGTGATAACTTGAGAGGGGGTGGAGATGGAAAAAGATTTTCTTCTAACGAAATGAACTATTTGTTAATGTCTAAAAGTCCCTAAAATTTCAAGCTTCTACAGGCTGGGGTCTAGAAGAAAAATGACTTCAAAAATTTGGAAAAAAAGGACTTTAGATAACGGTAAATTTGAACGGCCATTTTGTTTTTCTAAAGTTTAACTATAGTATATCGCGCTAGGGGAAGCAAGCTACTGCCTTTCTGCGTTTGCAAAATTTCAAAAATGCTTATGGTTTCATTGCAACAAATATTTAAAAAAGGCCATTTTTAGGGTTTTGGGGGGGTATAACTTCTAGAGGGGGGGAGATAGGTAAAAATTTTGTTCTACGGAAATAAGTTTCTAGTGAAGATCTATGTACGTATGAAATTTCAGCTTTCTATCTTCAAGGCTGTAGAAGTTTTGTAAACAAAAAAAGTGTCCACGGACGGACGGACGGACGGACGAACAGAGTGAAACTAATAAGCACTTCTTTCAAAAAATTTTTTGGAAAAGTGCTAAAAATTACCGATGCTTATTACCGATACACGTTTACATATGTGTATTCATAAGAAATATTTGTTTTAAATTTTTAAAACAAAATTGGAATAAAAATAAAAAATTTATAGTTTATATTACAATAAATGTAATGACAATTACTAATTACAAATTTTAAGTTTTTTGTTAATATTATTTGCCTTTTTCAAATTATAGACATATAGTATATGTAAATTATATTTTTTTTTATTTTAATACTCAAATTTTGCTTTTGAATCACTTCGCTTTTATAATATGGAAACCCCATTTCTGTCACCTTGTACAGGAATAAGTTACAGAAATAAAACTCCCGCTTTTAAAATTTTTAATATTTTTTCCTAAACTTTATATACGAAAAAATAAATAACTCCTGCTTTTAAAAATACATTATAATAAAGTTGGGTCAAACCAATGGTTTGTATTGTAGCACTTTTCCCTTCAACAAGTGAAAATACTGCTTTTAAAAACAGTCTATGTATATCCACCACACTATTAAAATTATTTTCATTTATAAATGAAACTATTTCTAGGATTGCATATATTTAGGATGAACCATTTATGCAGTCTTTGAAATAAAGCAAAATTTAATATAAACAGGGGTTAACATAATGCTCGATTTTAAGGGTTAATTGTGTGAGTTAAGAAAAATAATTATATTTTTTAATTTCATGAAATTTACCGTTAACTTTTTGCGTTTATAGAAATTTGAAAAAACCTGCGGTTTCAGAAATATTAGGTGTCAAAAATGCAAATTTTACAAATTTCAAGAGGCGATAACTTGAGAGGGGGTGGAGATGGAAAAAAATTTTCTTCTAACGAAATGAGCTACATGTTAATGTCTAAAAGCTCCTAAAATTTCAAGCTTCTACAGGCTGGGGTCTAGAAGAAAAACGACATCAAAAATTTGAAAAAAAAGGACTTTAGATAACGGTAAATTTGAACGGCCATTTTGTTTTTCTAAAGTTTAACTATAGTATACCGCGGTAGGGGAAGCAAGCCACTACCTTTCTGCGTTTGCAAAATTTCAAAAATGCTTATGGTTTCATTGCAACAAATAGTTAAAGTAGGCCATTTTTAGTGCTTTGGGGGGGTATAACTTCTAGAGGGGGGGAGATAGGTAAAAATTTTGTTCTACGAAAATAAGTTTCTAGTAAAGATCTATGTACGTATTAAATTTCAGCTTTCTATCTTTAAGAATGTAGAAGTTTTGTAAACAGACACACGGACGGACGGACGGACAGAGTGAAACTAATAAGCACTTTTTTTCAAAAAATTTTTGGAAAAGTGCTAAAAAAACAGGTAGACATCTATTGCGTACTCTTTCCCTCTCCCAAAAATTCTTGTGTGTATAAAAATAAGAAGGTATACTGCTTAACTCTTTTAGCTAAGGGAATTTTTTCTATACAAAATTGGTGAGTGAATGATGTAAACGGAGAGTCGAACTATTTGTTAATAGATATACTTTGGCCTACAAGTAGAATAAAGATGCCTGTGGTACTTCTAACAAAAATATTTGGATTTGTGTTTGTATTTTTCATAAATATACGCACACAAAGAAACGCTTTTTATTAAATTTTTTAAGGCAAATTTCTATTTTTCGGTTTTTTAAAAGGAATATTGGTTCATGTCAGAAATTTAAATTTTAATATTTGTTTTTTGACAATATTGAAATAAATGTTACTTATATATGTACATATGTTGTAATTTTCAGCATATTTTTCTTAAAAACTGAAAAGTAAAAACTTCCCATCCAAAAAACTGAAAAGTAGAATTTAAAAAGCTGAAAAGAAGAAAAACAAAATGTTCAGGTTTTTTTGTATGAAATTCTAAGTCTATAAAATAGTTTCTAGTACTGAGTTAAATTATGAAAGAAAAATAAAAATATTTTAAAACTTTGTTTACATGCTATAAAATTATTTGAAGCTTGAAAAATATCATAGCATAGAAATTATGATTGATTTTATTGGTTACATTTATGTACATATCAATATGTAGATATAAGTAATAAAGTTTAACCAATAAATCTGTAAAGGTAAAATTTTTAATTATTAAAGATCTATAATTATGTAAAAAAATATTTTTAAGATTTCAGTTAGAAGTTTCAGTTAACTTAAAAAGGAGCAATTCAATGCCTTTAATAATATTAATTGTCATTTTTATCTAATTTTTTTGAAGAGAAATTTCGCGAAACATAACATTTAACGATTCCGACTGTGAAAATTATTTATGAAGCCCCTTCAGTATTTTTAAAATTAATCAAGCCATTTTTGTCTACGGACATCTAGAGGTTTACGGACACACATTTTGAATTGAAAAATGAGAATTATGAAGGTGAATAAAATGCGAGATAAAAAATCGAGATACACAATTCGTCACTATATCTGCTATGATCTATGTTTTTTTTAAAAGGTTTACCAATACGTATTTTGAGAGCGAACCATAAAATTACATTTAAAAATTATTTCACAAAATCTTAAGTAATAACAACTGAAAATTTAAAATATTTAATTTAATGAAAAGCTAATCTGCTAATATGTAAAAACTATGAAAACAGTCATATTACAGATCGTTGAATTTATTTGTTTACCCACATTCTTTCAATATAATTCAATGTAACTTAAACCTAAGCATAATGTGTAAATATGTACATATATATACATATACATATATGTATGACATTTCCAATTTTCCCTTTCTTTTTTTCAAATAAGCAAATTGGTTCTCTTTTTCTTTTAGGTGAAGAACGCTGTGAAATATACTAAGCTTAATCAAATAAAATTGGTATTCATTGCGCAACTATAATGGATGTTCCTTCCATGGTTCAACGATCTGGAGATACTTTAATTGTTCGAAGCGTTGTTAGCGGCAACCAATTATATTTTGATAAAAAACATGAAAATAAAGCATCTGAAAAATTGGAATTACTTCAACTTAATCAAGCTACACTTCCATCGTCATTGGGATGTTCTGAACAATCAGTACTTTTCGAGAATAACGTTATACCTTCCAATTGCCGATTAAGCTCTGCAAATGAAACAGGCGAAAGTGAAAATCAAGTCGATGTAAAAGACGAAGGATTACCCCAATGTAAAATAAAACGTAATTACTCATGCAGTTCGTGTACTTTTTTTACCCAAAATCCACGTTATTTTTTGACACACTTACGGGATAAACATGGTGAAAAGATCGTTATAAATGAATGCAGGTTGTGTTTATATGCCTCGCGTCATTATCAAAAGTTAGTTCGACATATGAAAATGGTACATGGTTCAACTGATGGAATTGAAGGAAATGGCACAGCTCGAAAAAGGCAGTTAAGTCGAGAAAATCGGAAAAGAAAAGTTGGAAACCAAATCTTAGAAATACTACCAAATTTTGAATCAAGCGCTCCACGAATTTACACGGAAAACAAAATAAGAATTACACAATTGAAACCTAATAAAGACATACAACAAAACACCCACCAATCACAAAAATTCGAAGATTTTTTGGGTGACTATTCTAAAAACCGTCTTAAATGTAGTATATGTGAATTTACAACCTTGCACCGCTCCCAATTAATTGTTCATGAAAATGACGAACATTGTAACGCTAAATTCTTTCGATGTGAAAAATGCAGTTATGTTACACATATAAAAGCACGTTTCAGTAAACATGTAAAATATCATTCCATGCCAATGATTAAGTGTTTCATGTGCGACTTCCGAACTCCATATAAATGGAACTTAGATCGACATATGAAAAATCATGGGGGAACAGGTGCTTTCAAGTGCGCTGCTTGTAACTTTACAGCTGATATAAAACAGAGTTTAACAGTACATGAAATGAACCATCATATTCCTCCAGTTGGAAATGCTGCTGGGATGACAAATATTAAGAAGAAAAACAAAGTGGGTGGCACAGATATTTCAGATGAATTCCTCAGCGAGATAGGCGACACTGAAGAGGACTCGAACAGCATAAATATTAGTTGTGGTAATACCGATAATGAAAATTATAACTATGATACTAGTAATTACACTGATATAGTTAGATGGGACTGTGGCGACCACAATAATCTTAAAGAATACAATAATAATAATGATAAAAATTGCAGCAATAATAATATAAACCAGACACACATTTGTAACAATATCTTAAATGAAAATAACGAGAGCGATAATAATAATAAGTTTTTAAATGGTAAAACAAATAATATTAACATTTGTAAAATTAGTAAAAATGTCAATATAAGTAGTAACATCTTTGATGCCAGCAAAAGCGAGTTTCAAAATTGTAAACAAGACCAACACGGCTCAAATATTAAAGCGAGCATTGGAAACGATAGAGATGGTGAAAATAACAAAAATAAGAATATCAAACAATGTGAACAAGTTAGTTCTATTGCCAATCATAGTAACGATATCAATGAAGATATAGATTTGAATAACAGGTGTACTTTGAGTAAACCTGAAACCGATACCAAATGTGGTAACTTAGAGTATGACAGTTTTTCCAATACCAAAAAATTTAAATGTAATATTGAGGACTTACCAACGGATTTATCTCACAAATCCATGTTGCACGAAATAATGAAGCCAAATTTTTGTTATAATAAGTCTAATCGTCCAATTCCAAAGCTCATTCCAATTCAAACTAGTGCACCCATTATTTTGCATAGCAAGTCACTAAGCTTACCTAATGATAGTCAGTTGCACGATGAGGTGCATAATCTTCAACAAATAGTTACGATGTTGTTTGGAAAAGATATTCCACAAGAGCTGCTATCAAATTTACCTCTGCTTTCTCCAGGCAGTGATTTTAATAATTCAGAGAAATATGGAGGAGTCGGCTTAAGTGATTCAGTAAACTACCTGCTTCATAAAAACTCGCAAAGTTTTTTTAATAAATTGAAGCAACGTTTTCCTGGCAATGAAAATAGCCTCGCTAAACTTGAAAATCTCACTTGTACATGTGGATATATTTGTAAGTGTTTGTCAGAATTATATAAACACCGCAATACATGCCAAATTTCGTCTTGTGAAGTTGACAGAAACCAGAACATTGACTGTAAAAAACATTCCAATTTATTTCCAATAAATTTATCTACCAATATCAATAGTGCGTCAATCAGATGTCACATTTGTAGGCACCGTTGTAAATCTAGTGCTGATTTAATGAATCACTTAAAGAGTTGTGGTGAAACGGTAAATCAAAACGATTTTTCAGATTCTTCACTTGATACTACAGAACAAAATATTGTTGCATATAATGAGGATACGGAAAAACTACTTATGAAAAAACATCCTATGGAAGACAAAGTTTTTATTTGGAACGATGTAAACAGTTCTTTCCAAAACTCAAGGAAAGGAGAAAATGTTGTTGAAGTCAAAAAGCGAAATTCAAATAAAATCGACGAACACCAGCTAAATATTTCAACTCATTATGAAAGTGACGAAAAAATTGATGAAATTAGTTATTATGGAGTAGAAACAGCCCCAGGCTATGGTGAAGTAAATTATTTTTTATGCTATCAAAACAAATTTATGTTTTTCATATAAATTTTACTCTTAGGTTACAAAGACAATTCCATCTGAAGAGGACACAGCGAACGCTTCTTTAAAAAAAGTCTATAAATGTCCCCATTGTTCATTTTGGGCATCAACTGCTTCACGATTTCACGTTCACATTGTCGGTCATCTTAATAAAAAGCCATTTGAATGTTCGCTTTGCAATTATCGGAGCAATTGGCGTTGGGATATCACGAAGCACATTCGTTTGAAAACAATTCGAGATCCTTCGCACAAAAATGCAAAAGTTCTTATGAATGATGAAACGGGAAGAAGAAATTATACAAAATATAACAAATACATAACACTAATGAAAGTAACGGATGAAGATGGAGATCCGAAACTTATGAAATCTGGTGAAATGACACCGAATCAAGAGGCTTCATTATCATTTATAAAAGATTATGAAAATAAAAATGCTTTTGGAGTTTTGGGTGGTGATAACACTATTCCAGATGTTACGTTAACTTCTAATAGTTCTTCTTCCGCATTAACTTATAACAGTTGCAACAAAGAAAAAAAAGAAAACTTTAAATTTTTACCTGTTGAAAATGAATTGTTAATTGAACAATATGCTGATTTAATGCCGTCCGAATATGATAAAGAAGAAACTTTGAGTAGATGTGATCCACCGGATTTATTTAAAAATGAAAATTTAAGCAAAAATAAAACTTGTGATGAAGAAAGAATTTGTATCAAAAGTGCCGAAGATTGCGTAGAAAACAAAGTTCTGTATTGTTGTAAAGAGTGTAACTACAAGTAGGTAGAATTTTTTAACAATAATTGTTTTTATCCACAGATTATAGATATGATTTCTTTATTTCTTATTCGAAGTACGCACATATTTATGTACATATGTATATATTTCAAATTATAAAATATAAATTGTTCATATAAATAGAAAATTGCAAATTTAAAATTAATATGTCTCATAAATGTCTTTTACGCAAAACTATCACTTTACGCCGAAGTAACTCACCTCATTTGATTAAATATCATTTACACATGTTATTTCATAGTCGACCTAATGCGCAGTGTGTATTACTTTCCCTATATTCCAATAAAAAAAGCTAATGAATATAATTTCATCGACTTCTTCGACCAACATCCTTATGTTCAGACATATATTATGTACATTATTAGGATAATAAACTTCATATATGTACATATGTAAACAAATGAAAAGAAATAATTAAATTGTGTTTTGTTCGGCTCACAGACAACTTTAGTACTGAATTTATCTGTGGTGTATTTAAATTTCTTTACATACAATGTACATGTATGTAATGTACGTATGCGGCGCGTTGTTTTTTTTATTCGTTCAAAAGTTTTAAAAATATGGTTTTTCAAGTGATATGACTTTCAAAATGCGTTAAGAAAGGTTTCATTGCAATTAATTTACCGCTGTTAAATATGAAAAAACTGTATTTTGGATATTTATTAAAAAAGTTTTGAAAAAAAAAAACAATTAAATACAAACTACATATTCAAGAAATTGCCGCACGCGTCATATTTGAAATTACTATTAAAAAAAAAGAATTGAAGAATTAAATTTGTATTAATTACTAATTGAAAAAAAAGGTAAAAAATTAAATTTGTAACATTTATCAGACGTGTACTGATACAAAAAAACAGTGAAACTATTGCGGCTGCTTTCTCTGCTTTTATTTTTGTAACCAATTTAAGTATTTTGGAACACGCCACATTGTGTTATAATATTACATTTACATTTTTATGCTTTATTTGGAAATCGGATATGCTATATTATTTGTATTATACTATGATGTATCAAGTGCATAAATCATAATCACAATATATTATGTATGTACATATATACATACATAATATATTTATTGTATGTGCATACATAATATTTTATTTTGAATAACCATATATACTTGAAAATTCAAAATAAAATCTTCAAAATGTTGAAATCGTATTATACAATACACAATTTAAACCAAAAATTTCAAATCATTTTATATTATTTTCGCTCGTTGTTCTTAATTCCTTGTGACAACTGCCATACAACTTCAATAGTTATTTGTTATTAGTATTGCATTTGCTGTTAGCACTGCACAAATTGTTGTGGTAATACAGACGAAAACTATTATTTCCATTCGAACATATGTTATTCTAACTCTCTCCTCTTATTTTATCATTTACTTCGGGGACATCCAAATTCCTATGAATGTCACTATTATGTAAACAAGAGAACATCCACAATCAAGAACCTTGTTTTCGAAAGTTTAAATTTGTTTGTATTTGTTAGATATGTTTTCCTTGGTAAAACGCCGTAAATGTATACCATATGTCCATATAGGATTTAGTAATTGGTTATATATCAATACTATGTTGTATGTTGCCAAATTAGACCTACCACCTAAGAGCCAACACTTTTCTCTATACTTATTTTCTAATTCTATTTTTGTGGCATTTTCTTTCCATCTGAGTTCGACATCCAAAGACATGCCTAGGTATTTTGGATTGGTATTCTTGCACCATTCAAATTTAATTATGGTAGATCTAGCAAATTTTCCTAGGTACAATACATGGCCCAGAATACTGTCTTGTGGAAACGAAGAGTACACCAAGACTCCACATACGACAGTAAATCCAGAAATTACAAAGGTATCGCTTAAGTTTAAATAATAAACCTAGACAAACGTCTAGGCCATGTCTAGAAATATTGTTAAACATTTGTTTTTATTCTAGCGTCTTTTTATACCCTGAACCTTCGTGAATGGTATATTAAGTTTGGTATGGAGTTTGTAACTACCTGAAGGAATCATTTGCGGTGTGGACATATACATATATTCTTGCTCAGTGTAAAATTCTGCGTTGATTTAGCCATATCACAAGTTGTTTATTTTCTGCCAAGGGCGAACCTTATTGTAATTGGACCAATTCGGACAACTGCCATGCAAAAAGTTTATTATAAATATGGAATTTTGTATATGTGTGTTCAATTACGTTTTACAAATGCCCTAAAAATTTTAATGGGATCCCTGGTCCGATTTTAATGGGTTTGGCTGCCACACAACTCCAAAAGCAAATTTTAAATAGGTAGAAAAATAATAAAGTCAGATTCATAAAACTTGGCTGTCGTGTGTCCAATTATAAGTCAGATTTATTCGTGAAGTTTTAGTTAATTTTTTTTATTCGTGAAGTTTTAGTTAATTTAGTTAAATCCTTTTTCTTTTTAAATTACTTCAAACAGATCAAGCGTTTTTTCTTTTATTGTTGATTAAGAAATTGATATATTTTTTGCATTCAGATCTTCTATCCAAAAGACTAATTGTTGTTCCACTTTTTGTAACACAGATGATTTTATTATAAAATTTTAGTCTGCAAAATTTTTTATTGATCCAGAAATCAATGTTATTTTTTTTTCCTTATTTTTTTAAATTGTTGTGACTGTATTATGTTTTATATCAAATTTATTTGCAATTCCTAAAACCTTCGATTTATTTTCATATATTTCGATTATTTTCAGCTTCGTTTGCAAATTTTTAATTCTTTTGCTTTCCGCAGAATTTTTCGCTTTTCCCGTTTTGAAGCTAAAAAACCAAAAATTGTTTTTAAAACCTAAAACATGTTATTAAAACTTATTTACAATTATTAATTTACAATAAATTTTGAAAAATAAAAAAATATTTATAGCTAACAAGATAAAATTTGAATTTAAAAAAAAACCGACAAAGTGCATGTACAAAGATAATTATTCTTAACATGGCATTGACATTTTTATCTTTTGACATTTTAAAAATAAAATTGAAATATGTACGTACTTTAAAGTTTCTGTTTAATAGTTTTTTTAGTAATTTCTATTGTAAATCGATAAAAAGTAAAAATATTGCCAAATTTTTTAATTTTGTATCACGACATTTATGTCCCAAGTGGAAAAAAGGACATATTAGCCGCCGTCGTATCTCGAGAAATTAGTGTATTTGGAATGATTGTTGTCCTTTTTTTGAAGTTATTGAAAGTTTGATACAAAATTATATTTGTTGAAGTTTGTTTTTCTTAACAATTCCTAAATCCGATCAAATAAGAAGATGACTGATAAATTAGAGCCTTAGCAAGCTTGCCAGCAATGTTACGTCACATAAAGCTGCATTGTTACGTCAACTAAAAAATTAACGTTTTTTAAATAATGAAAGGTTAAAATTTAAAATTTTTCGAATTTTAAACTCATGTGATTTCGAAATCTAAACAGACGGTAACCACGAAACATATTATTCAGACGTCTAATTTTTCGTCAGAAAAGAAACAGTATGTGTGTTTCCCTTTTTTTGTAAGCGACATTTACTGAGTTAATGAAAAATGTATTGCAATTAACCAATTGTTATACGATTTATTGTTAAAGAGGAATTGGAAAGAAAGATGAAATAAAATATAAACAAATGAAATAAATAAAATAATGAAATTATCAAAACAATTTTTTTTCTAAGAATCCGGTTTTTGTATGACGTATTTTATGCTATGATATTTGCCTATAACTATTAATATGATATTCAATTAAATTCGATATTACCTCATAAGAGCAAATGCTCGTACAGAGTTTATATTATAATTTTACTTTCAGTAGACAAATTAAGATGTAAGTTCTAAAAATTAAACAAAGAATACATATAATATATAGGTTAACAACAAACTGTAAAACGAAAACATAACAAAAAAATTATTTAACAATATTGATAGAAAAATAAAAAGAATACTTATGTAAAATCAAAAGGCTTAAAAAGAAATCATACAAAATTTTACATATCTGAGTCAATTAAAATGATTAATTTCGCGTAATTAGAAAGAGTGTAATATAAATTATACAATAAAGTAAGAAGTAAATAGCAAAAGAAAAAAGTTATATTTACCTATTTATAATTCAGTGCAAAAATTTACTATATCAATCTGAAATACTATTCATCGCTTTTGCTTTTGGAAGCTCGCAAAGTTAGTTGTTTTAATTGTACTGGAAGTTCATTATATAACTTAATAGCAGAATTATAAATAATAATATGATCCTATATGATTAGAATAAAAAAAGAATTAATCCATAGAAATAATCGGCAATGGTGTTTATAAGTTTTGAACAAATGTTGTCTACTCTTTCTAATTCTTTCTAAAAATTAAAGGTTTTAACAAACTTAGCAAGAAATTTCTAAGCTTATATACATAGATTTTCCTCTTGTGAATACCTTTATATCTAATTTAAAATTTGTTTTATTTTAATAAGCAAAATAAAATAAGAAGTAATAAAAGATGCCTTAATTTTTAGCAACCGAAAATACTATATTTTTCCAAATGCGATTCAATAGTAGGATGAATTGAAAACAAAATTGTGTGCACATATTCATCTAAAGCAGAGGTTCCCAACCTTTTCGCCCTCGTAGACCCCATGTCGTGTTTTTGAATTTTTGATAGACCCCCTTAATACTTATTTTAATGTCTTTATATCTAACAAGTCCCAATACTCAATTTTTTTTACGAAATGTTACGAATTTTTGGCCTCGTTGTTGGTTTTTTCTTTAAATGCCACTGATCGTGTCATATTTTTTATTATTTTTTTCTTTTTTTTTACGTAAAAAAGAGATTAATATTTTAAAAAATCTCAGGATATTATACACATTTTTTAAAAAGCTTCCCATTTAAATTCTATTGCACGAAAAAGAAAGAAAGGTAGGAGGAAAGAAAAAATGAAAAAAAATTTCAAGTTCATATTTCAGTATGGTTTCAAATGTTAATGAGGAAGGATGTAT